GTCTCCATCGTAACCAACAGCAACAATGGCAGCACGTTCTTTTTCCATTAGTCTCCTTTGCACCATCTGCTCCAGACAACCATGAATCTCTATAAACTTCACCTCTGTCCATACCATATAAATAGAATCCTCCCGTACATTTGGTGGTGTTGTGCACTGTTGAGTCAGAACTGACTCACAGCTGGTCCTCCAGCAGGTTTACAGTTAATTGCACAGGAGGAGATTGTCTGTCTTTCTGCGGAGTAGCTGGTGGTCTTGAACCTCTTGCTTTTGGTAAAGCAGCGCAGTTTCTTGCCACTAGGATATCAGAGCTTCCATACACAGCTCTCTGGTTTCTTTCCCTTAAAACTCAAACTAATCATTCTTGAGCCCCAACAAACTCACAGCTGGCCCTCCAGGAAGTTTTCTGAGGCAGTAAACAGCAGAGGAGGAGACTGCCTAATTTTTCTCCTTTGGAGCCATTGATGGATTTGAACTTTCAGGCGCATGACCTCTGGGTTAGTGTTTGCTACCGTACAGATTATGCCACTAGCATGCCTTTTCTTCAACATAACATCATATTTTTCAGGTTCACCTATGACATAGCATGTGTCAGCATTTTCCCATTTTATTTTATTAATTTTAATGAACATTTACAGAGATTTTGGATTCTTACTCGATGGCATCCAATTAAACAAAGGTACTGCATTCACACTGATCAACACTGAAGTTGTTTCTAGCTTTTAGGCAGAATTAGTAATATTTCTGTGAAACACTGACTGCATGTTTTTGTGTGTGGTAAAAGTTTTCATTTCTCTTGGGTACAGACTCAAGAGTGGACTTTAGTTAAAAAGAAAAAAAAAAAAAAAAAAGAGTGGACTTTAGGATCATATGAGAGCTTTATATCTAGCTTTTTTTTAAAAAAAATAACCTGAAAAACGATATGCTAAAATGACTACATCTTAAATTCTTATTTGTAGTATATGACAGTTCTCATTGCTTTACATTTTCATCACTACTTATTATTATCTTTTTTATTATAATCACTCCAGTTCATGTGAAGTGGTAGCTATCTAACTGTGGTTTTTATTTGCATTTCTCTAATAGCTAATGTGGGAGCACTGGTAGTCTAATGGCAAGGAGGTGCACTGTCAACTCAGAGGCAGGTAATTCGAACTCACCTTCTGCTCTGTGGGAGAAAGATAGGCAGTCTCCTCCCATGTGGCTACAGCCTCTGAAAACCCACCAGAGGGTCAGTTATGAGTCAATTCCAACTCGAGAGCAGACAACAACAACAATGGTTAATGAAGGGACCCCAGAAAGATCACTGGTCAAGTACTCAGATAATCACAAGGTAAGAGGTACAAACCTACCAGACATCCTGCAGAAGAAAGACTGATGATCTGCTTCTGTTAAGATTATCAACTCAACTCATTGTCAATTCTGACTCCTAACTACCCCCAAAAAGAGACAGGAGAAGAACTGCCCCTTAAAGTTTTCCCAGGCTGCAAAATAATTTTTTCCACCTTGACTGTAATTTTTTTTAAAAAAATCTACATTGTGTTTCATATGGTCATTCTCACATACTGTATTTTACTAAATGAATCAATATTGAGCTATGGCAACTGTTACCCCATGAATAATTTTTGGGTGGGTTCAAGCTACTGGCTTTTTGCTTAGCAGGCAAGTTCCTTAACTGCTCTACCAGGTGGGCTCCTGTATAACAGATGATGTCAGTAGGGACAGAGTATAAACCCCATGGGGTAGTTATTCCCTTTTTTATAGGATTGGAATGAGTCAGAATCAACTTGATGGCAATGGGATGTCTTGAAAGTATAACCAAGGTCTTTTTTTGGAGGCAAAGATAGAACAGCTTAGTTCCACATACTTGCTCATGTTGTTAGAAGTGGCCAGTCCTTAGAACAGGCCATTATGCTTGGAAAGGTGGAGGGTCAGCAAGAGAGAGGAAGACCCTCAGGGAAGTGGACTGACACAGTGAACACAACAACGGGCTCAAGTACATCAGAGATGATAAGGATGACACAGGATAGAGCAGGGTTCAAATCAGGGTTGCTGAGAGTCATAGCTGACTTGACAACATCTATGATTAAGAATGTTGAGTGTCTTAACACACTCAACAGACCAGAGAATGGCCAAAATTATTGGGGCAGCTATTGCTGCCAGTTTAGGGCCTGTGTCAGGAAAAGAAAGTCTTAACTTATATACAGTGCCACCCAAAGGTAATAAAGGAGGTCAGAATTGCTTCCACTGTGGAAAGCTGGGCCACTTCAGTAGACAGTGTCACAGATGAGAGCCACAGATAGGCAAGGGAGTAGAGAGGAAGCTCCTACTCACTTGCTTTAAGTGTGGATCTGAAGGACACTTGACCAAGGGTGGCCCACATCAGGTTCTTGTGGCTTACAGAACTGACAGGACCCAGCTTCCAGCTGGAAACAAAGGAGGACGCTTCAATGATTTAGATCCTCCCAGAAGAGCTGTGGGTGAGCATTAACATTACTGGTAAGTATATTCATTTTCTCCTGGACACAAGAGCCTACTATTTGGTCCTAAAAGCCTTCTGAGGTCCCAACTCTTCTCACTATTTCTTAGTTGTTAAAATTGACGGAAAACCTCATAAGCAGTTCTTTACTTCACCTCTGCCTTGCATGCGGACTTCCGAGTTGTAAAACAGCCCAGTGTTAGATGGAATTTGCTCCAGGACTTAAGAAGAATAAATGACATAGTTGAGCCTCTACATTTTGTGGTTCCTAACCTTTATACTATAATAGTCAAAGTGCTAGTCAATAGGCCTTTTATTGTAAGAACTACCTTCCCTCTGTTACTTGATTTGTGCCACTATTAGAGCTCTACTTGTAATATTATTGCTTTTTAATTTTTGACTCATGTACTTTTAACTTGTTAGTTAAATTTGTGTCTTCTAGGCTGCAACACTTCCATGATACATCTTCAAGGACATGAACATGTATGGCTAAGTACAACTTGCAGCTTCCTATATGAAGTCAAAGCAGTATGTCTTGGAAAAATGCAACCCGGGTGTTCCTTAGAGGCGATGGCAGAGCTTCATCTCATAGACTTTGGGCATGTTGTCAAGAGGAACCAGTTCTGGAAAGGTGTAGGGCCAGGGAAAGAGGGGGAGACCCTCGACAAGATTGAGTGATTGTATCAATAAGCTCAAGTGTTTATAACAGAGATGAAGAGGATGGCACAAGAAAGGCCCTGGTCAGATCCGTTGTTCATAGGGTTGCTATGAGTTGTAGTCAACTTGATGTCTCTTAACAATAAGAAAGACAAGACCAAAAAAGAACCAACACCTTTCAACTGTGGAGGTGTCAGAATACTGACTATATCAGGGATTGCCAAAAGAATGAAGAAGTGTGTCTTGGGCGAAGTCCATCCAGAATGGTTAGGGGTGAAGATGATGAAATTTCCTTTCACATACTCTGGGAATGCCCCGAGGAGAAGCAAGTCCTTGGAAAAGGACATCAGGCTTTGGAAATTTGAGGGTCAACAAAGGAGAAGACTCTCAATAAGATGGACTGATTAAGTGACAATGGGCTTAAGCAGATGGTGAGGACTGCAGATGACTGGGCTGTATGTGGGGCCACTGTGAATTGGAGGGTATCTAACAATAACAACCACCTCAGACACTGTCAGAGAGTCAATTTCTGTTTGTTAAAGACAACTATCTACTTGTTAATACCACTCTGCTACAGTAGCAACTTAGACATGCTGGGGTGGAGTGGCCAGCGACAAGGCTAATGTATTCATGGTGTGAAGTCTGAACCCTATAACATCAGACTGCTAAAATGGAACTTCACAAAAACAAGTTATGTGTTTTTAAAAAAACCCTAACTCTTTTTCAAAAAAAATTTTGGTAGGAGAAAACAGGTAAAGCAGGAGGCAAACATTTCTCGAACAACTCAAGCAAACTGAAGCTTCAGATTCCAGCTTCCCTGTATCTTTATTGAAAATTGCCAGGGAGCAAATCACAAAGAGAATTCCTAACTCTTTTAAAATGCTTTTCCTCTTGCCTAAGATGAAGCTCAAAGGCATTAGGCTACGTGAAAGATCGCAAATTCAACTATACCCGGAGGCATCTCAGAGGTCAGCCCCGGAGAAATTACTTCTGTGGAAAAAACCCCCATTGGAGCGCAGCTCTGCTCTGACACACCTGGTCCACATGAGTCAGTGCTCACTTGATGGAAGCAGGCGATGGGAGAGATTGTTTCTGAGTCATCTTCTTAAATACCATCCGAAACAGTCTTTTCCGTTACAGCTCTCCAGCCCTTGAGCCACCTGGAACCAGTACATCCCACCTGCATCCTAATCTTGGCCTCGGGGCTGGGGCTAGCAGAGTCTTCTGTGATAAAGGATTTTTTTTTTCCTTTTTTTCAAATCTCAGACCAGAAGATTATCTGCCTAGTATTAGGCCAGCCATCCTGCTGCTCCCACTCTGATTCTGTCACTTAGTTTCAGGCACTAAGATTGTATCAGGTTAGTTTGTAATCAGGCCCCTGCTTGCAGCTGAGTTCCTGGTTTCATCAGCCCAGCTCAGGCTCCTACCTTGAATCCTTGCTGTGTGTCACAGCTGGTTCACACACCATTTCCTATATGTTATGTGGGCTTAGTGTGACCCCTCCCATGGAACTCAAATTAAATTTTGATGAGCATGTTTTCCACATACGCCACCTGAGAGCTTTGATGCAGACGTTCTCATGTTTGATTTCTACCTAATACTACTAATAGCCTATGTTCTCCAGACCAGGCCAATACTCGCACTACATTTCCTACCAGCTGCCAGTTCCGTTCATCTTTCTCAGCCTTTCTGGATCCTCCAGCCAGATCCATATTAATGCTGAGTTCTAATATGAACAGGAACTTGGATTCTATTTTGATTTTTAAAAATACCTCCACTCAAACCAGCCAAGAATAAGAGGGAAAAGAATCCCTGAATATTTATGTATGTGCTGCTTGAAATTTCAGAAGAAAAGGCCCCATACCTGTCTGAGTGAAGCCTGATTTGTATCCATTAGCTGTTCCATTTTCAGGGGTCACAGCTGACGATGATATGGAAGAGTTTGGTTTAAGAGAATGGCAAGGAGCAGAGGATTGTCGGCTTCTACATTCTGGAAAGGAGGGAGAATCACATTATGTGGGGAGGCCACAGCGGGTGACGGGGCACAACCCATCAAAAATCTCCAAAAGAAATTGTTGCTCTTTCAGTGGTAACTACTTTCTCATTAGATCTCTACCTTGGCTCTAATTTTGACTCCAACAGAATGTTCAAGCTAGAGAGTCCAGTCAAGTTCCCAAGAGCCAGATGTCATGTTTACAAGGCAAAGCCAGAGGTTACAAAGAACAAACACACCTGTGTTCCCACAAGAAATTAAATCTTACTGGATAAAGGCATGCTAATTTTATGGATGAGACTAAGGTAAAAATATGAACAATTAAAAAAAAACTTGTTAAAAGAGAGATACAGACACCAAAGGTATTGGGGGGAGGAGAGCCCTATTATATTTCCAGAATCCCCAGTGGCACAGTGGTTAAAGTATTCAGCTGCCAACTAGGAGGTTCATGGTTTGACCTCATCAGCACCTCTATGGGAAAAAGATCATGGTTGGCGTCCATAAAGATTTATGGTCTTGGAAACCCCCCGGGGCAGCTCTATTCTGTCCTCTGATGTCACTGTGAGATGAATTTACTGGAAAGCAATAGCGTTTGGTTTAACGAGCTTCCAAACACGGGTCACTCTGCTGTTTACAACAGATCTTAGTATGAAACAGTAATCTAGCCTAGCCTCCATCCAGGCTGCCTCCAACTTTCTCTACTCAACCCTAATGTCTGGCCCAAAAAGAAGCAAAGAAAAATGTAAAGGCAGAAGAGAAATCTTAAGAAATGCTCACATGTCTTTTGAATTCTTATTACAGGAAATAGATAGACACATGTTCAAGTTTATTGCTGACCACAGAATACTAAGCTTCATCCTAACAAGCTGCTATTAGTGTGGACCAGTTGTGGGAGATATACTTGCAAATTCATTTTTTACCCACAGCTGGTGCGTACTGTGTCTCACGACACTGGCTGTGATCCCATCATGTAACGGCACACTCTTCTCCCTGAACATCCTATTTCTCCTCGTCTTTCTCTCTCACCATCTTCTGCCTCCTGAGCTTTGCTTCTCAGCAATTGCTGCCCTTTTGGTTTTTACAGCTGATTATACTGCGTGAGAAGTATGTTCCTATGGCTGTTACTCACTTTGCAAATCTTCCAATTACTTGGCTGAAAGGTGACCACCAGCGGTGGGCTCTGTTACAGGCCTGAAGGGGGTCTGAGGCCAGCATTCTCAGACCTTCTACTAACCTCTATCAGAACTGTAAATCTGCTCTCTGGATTAATATTTTAACAACACTTTGTACTATGACACCCTATTGTGCTTTAATTTCCAAGCAAATGATATACTGTTGCCATACCAATCCCTAAAGACAGTCCTTTAAAAGGGAGTAGAGGTGGTTGTGTATGACGTCAATGACGCAAGGTCCTTTGGAGAGTTTCCAGGTTTATCAGGAAGATGCAAGGATCGGAGGCCATTTCCTATCGCTTTCATCTAAGCTACAACCTTCCAGGAAGAGCCACTGTATTTTGGCCTTAAAACACAGCTCCACATTGATGTGTCTCATACGCACACTGTTTGTTTGTATAGACGTACAATTCCAACTCCAAGTTAACCACTCTTTCCAACAAGATGCTTCAGAAGTCACCCTGGGTCACTGTCTTATAAGCTATCTTACAAGCTCCTCTTTACCAGAAGGATGGGTTATCACTGAGCAGTAAATAAAAAGTAAAAATATGTTATGCAATGGAAACAAAAGCTAACAAAGAAAGAAAATGGAGAAGATAGGGAAGTGGTCTTTATCCTACTTTTCCCTGTTTTCTTAGGGACTCTGACATTAAAAATTATTTTTCTAGAGGAAAATTCTTCTAATCTTTAGTATAAAGAGGTAGAATGCTTAAATTCAGAGGTATAATGATAAGAGGATTCCATGATTCAAAGTGATAATATCTGGCATAAAACATGTAGCCAATTCCTTTGGAATGATGTGATGCCACTTCAAGTGCAACTAAAAAGAATTACTGTGAAGCATGAAGAGACAAATCTGAAGCGGTAATTTCTATCTATTATACTGTTTTTCATTGAAAGGAAAAAAGCCTTACATAGACAACACATGGAAACATTAAAGACTTATCATTATATGGAGGAAACACTCAGTATCTGAGAAGTTGCTCAAAGGAAAAAGGATTAGAAATAGCCTTGCATCAGGACAATGGGCAGAACTAATACACATACCCACCAGACACAACAGACACGTGACGCTTTGATAAGATTAATTTTTTCACATATGTTAGCTAAGTTCTTCCTAATTGAAAATAAAACTTTGTCCATTTAAAGTGCCTTTTCCACAAGTATTATGGAAACAAAAGTTTAAAGTGTTCCGGATTTAAGTAGAAAAATGTACATACATTAGAATTACCAAAGAACTTAGAATAGAAAAAGAACATCTGAATAGGAAACGGCAACTTTGGGATCCTCTTAACAGGAGTCCTCAAGGATTGCATCTCACCACCTCTCAGACACAAATACAGAGTCAAGTACTTTCACTCAACATGAAAAATCCTTGCTAACAGAGACGAGACAATTCAAATAACCTATTGTGCTTTTGTTGTGAATTCCAGTTCAGAGTAACCCCACAAGACAGAGAACTGTCCCATAGGATTTTCCAGGCTATAATTAATCTTTTTGGAAGCAGGAGTGGCATCCACTTCCTAAATAACATGCCTCCAGAAACACAATGAACTTGGATAAATGTCGATAGTTGTAGAGGGGCTTCAAGCCTTTTGTTCATAGGGTCGCTATGAGTCGTGCTCCACTTGAAGGCAATCAACAACAACAACAATTAATGTTTATGAGAGAAGACTGTCACATTTATCTCCCATGAAGCATGGTAGGTTTGACCTTGGGTTAGCAGCTGACTGTTTAAGCATTGTGCTACCCAAGCCCAAATGAACCAAACTCACGATTGGCTCAAAGTGACTCTTCACTGGATTTCTGAGGCTGTAAATGTTTAATGGGAGAGACTGCCTATCTTTCTTCTGTGGCAGCTGGTAGATTCAAACCATTAACCTTTTGATTTGCAGCCCGAGAAGTCACATTAACTACCAGAAATCCTTTATTATACTACTGCTGTTGTTGTTGTGTTGTGCCATCGAGTTGGAATCAACTCATAGCTGACACTCCAGTGGGTTTTCAGAGACAAGAAATCACATAGGAGAAGACTGCCCATCCTGCTCCCATGGAGCTGCTGGTGGATTCAAACTGTGTATCTTTGGGATCACAGCACAGCTTTTTAAGGATCACAGTGCATCTTTTTACCACCAGGCCACCTGAGTGGGTTCCTTAAACAATACAGTAATATAGTAGAGGGATTTTTTTTGGATAGCCTTCCGACACTGGGATACTATATCATGGCTGAACTGTCAATTCTATGAGTCACTACCCTAAACTCCCCCTCTCTGCCTTTGAGTTGAGGTGTTGGAGAAGAGTACGGAATGTCCCATTGATTGCCAGAACAACAAACAAGTCTGCCTTGGAGGATGTGCAACCAACGGGTGCTCCTCAGAGGCAACAATGGTAAAACTTCATCTCACACAGTTTGAGTCTGTCACCGGGAGTGGCCAGTCCCTGGAGAAAGAGAGCATGCTGGGAAAGACAAAAGGGTCAGAGAAAGAGAGGAAGACTTCCAAGGAGATGATGGATTGATACGGTGATTGTAACAATAAGCACATGAGAGATTGTGAGGATGGTACAGGAGAGGGCAGGGGTCAGATCTGCTGTTCACAGGGCACAGTGGACTCAACGGCCCCTGAGAACAACCACCTTCCCCTACTAGAAGCTGATGCTACCTTTCCAGCAGATAAGAGGTCCCTTTGACAGTACACCCTGGGAGCTTCTGACTAGGTAGTACTTTAAGTGCTTCTGCTTCTTTGGCTGAGTGGTGAGCTTCAAGTTAATGTGGTTGGAAAATTCCGTGAAGTACCGAAATCCTCTTTCTCCACAGCCGATACAGTTTCCAGAAAACCCTGAAAAGAGGAAAACCAGTTATTTGTGGACTTGCAAATGGATACAATGCCTCTGTGTGTGTGTGTGTGTGTGTGTGTGTGTGTGTGTGTGTATATATATATTCACCCAATAACTTCTCAAGGTCAAGGAAATAATTCAAAGAAAGGAAAAAAACTACACAAATACAAAAAGAATTTTCACCATTTTAATGGCAAAAGACTGGCAATAATGTAAATGCAAACCCAAAAGAGTAATGTTAAAGGAAATAAACTGAATAATACCATATGACAGGATCTCTGTAGTTGATATTATCATAAAAGTTCGGTTTTGAAGGTGCTCATTATTTTTTTCTCACACACTGCCTTCTAGGAGAACCGTCTGGCCTTGGGCCTGGTGCTCCACTTGCCTTCCCTGTATCCTGTGTATTTTCCTCTGATGGGAATATCTGGCCTAATCTGGGACAGGCAGATGCTCCCTCCAAGTTTTTTTTAATAGTCACCACAAGGATACTGCACCCTAGATTGCTATCATTTTGTAAAACCAAAATCAGAGTCAGAACTGTGTCAATCATACATGTAAGCAAACACGTGTGAGAGAAGCAACTAAAGAACTAGGAATTGAAGGCTTGACCATGGGCAAGAGAGCAGAGACATGCAAACTCGAGGCACCATCAATCTTCCTGCTTCTATACCATCTGATTATACTTTCTGATACCGAATTCCATGAGATTCCTTTTTTTTTTTTATAAAAAAATTCAACTTCTCTTTATATAATGTTGTTGTTGTTGTTGTTGTTATGTGCCATTGAGTCACTTGCGACTCATAGCGACCCTATGTACAAGAGCCCTATACACCGTTCTATCCTGTGCCAATCTCGCTGTCTCAAACACACTCATTCCCATCACTCCACTCACAGAATCGATCCATCTCATCGAGGGTCTTCCTCTCCTGCGCTGTCCCTCTACTCTCCCAAACATGATGTCCCTCTCCAAGGACCAGTTCCTCCTTGCATCATGCACAACGTATGTCAGACGAAGCTTCAGAATCCTTGACTCCAAGGAGCTGGCTTCACCCTCTCCAGGACAAACTTGTTTGTTCTCCTAGCAGTCCATGGTATATTCAACCCTCTTCTCCAGCACCACAACTCAAAGGCATCAATTTTCTATCATCCTTATTCACTATCCACCTCTCTGATGCATAGCACGTACTTGCAAAGACTATAGCCTGGATCAGGCACACCTTAGTCTCCAGCCTGATGTCATTGCTCTTCAGCACTCTTGAGAGGTCCCTCACAGCTGACTTTCCCAATGCAATTCGTCTCCTGATTTCCTGGCTGCTGTTAGCAAGAGTGTTCACTGTGTGGAGCCAAGCAACTAAAACAGTTAACTATCTCAATCTCTTCACCATCCATACTGATGCTGCCAATTGGCCCAGTGGTAAAAATCTTTGTTTTCTTGATGTTGAGCTTCAATCCATATTGAAGACTGCAGTCCTTGACTTTCTGCAGCAAGTGCTTCAGGTCCTCCTCAGTTTCAGCAAGCAGCATTGTGTCATCTGCATAAGGCATGTTGTTGATGATTTTTCCACTAACCTTGATGCCACATTCCTCCTTGTACAGCCCAGCGTCTCAGATGATCTGTTCTGCACACAAATTGAAAAGGTATGGAGACAAAATACATCCCCGAAGGACCTGTTTCTTGATTTTGAACCATCCAGGGTTTGCGGTCTTCAGCTAGTAGCCTAAAGGTTGGTGGTACAAATCTACTTAGTAGGGCAACAGAAGGAAAACCTGGCAACCTACTTCCACAAAGATTACAACCAAGAAAATCCCACGGACCAAATTATTCTGCAGCAATATGTTGAGTTTTAGCTTTTTAGTTCTTAGCTCCAACTTCTGAACAATTCCTCATTCACACTAACTTAAGGGAAAACCAATTCCAGTAGTGTGCTATGTGTGGAAAACACGACATGAAAAAGAAACAGAAGAGGTGAGGAGGATGAGAATCCATTTATGCTTTACTTTAATAGAAATCATCTTCTTATGCACACCTTTATTTATTGCTTTTTAGTTCACAATAGCAAAGAGTTGGAAACAATCCAACTGTCCATCAACAAATGAATGGAAAAGCTGTGGTATATTCACACAATGGAATACTATGCTGCACTGAAAAATAAGGAACTCATGCAATGTTGTTCAAAATGGGTGACCCTGGAGGACATTTTACTGAGTGAAATGTCTCTGTCACAAAAGGACAAATACTGCACAGTGCTACTGTTGTGAAACAGGACTGACATTGGGGCTGGAGAGAAACTAAGAGGGGATAAATAATGTACACTGCATTGAACAGATGAGGGACAGAACTGCTTAAAAGGGATATATGATTAGGTATTATTGTCATGACAGAAGTCCAGAATAAGAGCTGCACAGTAATGTGTGTGTGTGTGGGGGGGGGGGGATTGTATAACAATGAAAGAATTTTTTTTCTTTTCAAAGAGAAAAGTGAGCTGGGGGGAGGGGTGAGCAGGGAGGAAAATGTGCAACAATGAATGAATGGAAATCCAAGTTCTCTATAAACTTTCATTAAAATCTCAATTATAAAAAAGAAAAAAAAATTTAAAAATCACTTTGTTGGGAACCCTGTAGGGCACCCAGAAAAAGACAGGGGGACAAGAGTCAGTTCCTCTGGTTTTGTAGTGAGACAACACCACATTTAATTTCATACAGGTGAACCAAGGCAAAGAAATATTAAATCAGAGAAAAATATCTTTTCATTTTTATATAGTATCTCTACAGACCTATATCTTTTCATTTTTATAAATACAGTATCTCTATAGACTTATGAGTAACTGATAATATACTGACACTCTTAAAAATCCCAAACCAACTTGTTCTATTACTAACAAATATATGTAACAAAAAAAGGAAAGGTTATGAGAATTAAAGATAGGGTATCTCCCAATGTCTCAATCTCAAAATGCTGACAATTAATTCACGGCTTTTATAAATGGCCAGTCCAATTTCTTTTCAATTCATCTACTCAGATGTCAGCCATTGTGCTAATCACTGGAGGAACAGGGGTGAGCAAGAGAAGCGCAACTCTCTGGCCAATTACACAGTGATTCTAATTTATTACTGCCATTTTACTAAAGTATCAATTACTATAATTGTGTAAATGATGCAAAATACATTGAAGGATGGATTACTCTTGACCTTTTGTCCAAAACCCTGATGCTGGGAAAAGAGACAAACAAACAAAAAAAATGTTGATAGCTATTAAGGAGCTCTGGTGGCTTAGAGGTAAGGAAATGCACTGCAAAATCAAAGGTACAGTTTGAATCTACCAGATGCTTCACAAAAGAAAAGACGGGCCATCGTCCTGTATTATTTACTGCCTTTTAAAACCCGCCGAACGGTCAGTTCTGACTCAAAAGAACACAATAACAATAACAATATGTAGTTCATAAAAATTTTAAAGCTATTATTCTTGCATTAATACATCTTTACAACAAATACTCACACTCTGTGTCTGGAAGAAGTACTGGTATAAACAGAAGGTTGAACACTAGCAGAAAAGTTGGCAGTTCTAACCCACCAAGAGCTGTTTCTAAAAGAGCTTATATATTTTGTTGTCGTTATTGTTATGTGCCGTCGAGTCGCCCGCGACTCATAACAGCCCTATGTACTACAGCCCTAAACCCTGCTCTATCCTGTGTATATTTTTAGATGATCATTATTCTTTCATGTGAATTGTCTGAGCTATGAAGATTTTCATATCCAAACTACAGTTGAAACATTGTAAGGACATTTCAGCAGAAATAATTCAGGACTTTTTTTTTTCCTTTTCTTTTCCCTGCCTCTTTTTAAACAGTCTCTCAGTAAGGACTATCCACTTAGCTTTGTATCCAAAGACGAAATTTGTAGGTGAAAGGAGTTAGCCTTAGTTACAGAGTCGTTAATTTCAGGGTCGAAAATATGGAATGCTTCACGAATTTGCGTGTCATCCTTGCGCAGGGGCCATGCTAATCTTCTCTGTATCGTTCCAATTTTAGTATATGTGCTGCTGAAGCGAGCACAGGACTTTTTTTTAAAAAAACTGAGGCTTACATGCTAGATTTAAGTAGTTTAGAAGAGATTATTAATGGAAATTAGAATTCACAAATCAGTGGGATTGAGTCTTACATCTATTTCTTTGACTACTCTTTAAAGGAAAAAAAATAGAAGGGAAAAAATGAGTAGATCTGAATATTTGGAGAAGATTGGTAAGAATAAATAATATTAAGGAGTTAGAGCCCCATCATCCATTTTACAAATCCTGTATGGATCAAGAGAGAGATTTTACTTGCTCAGAGTTCTTGCTAACGTTAAAAACAAAAAATTACACCTCTTACAGCCAAATTACCTTTCTAGGTACTATGGTAATCAAGTGCTCCAGTTGCCTGGTAGATGTGAAGCACATGCAATGTGACCTGAAGCAATATTTTTAAAAAGAAATTATCCCACAGTATTTTGAATTGGCATAACTTAGATAAAAATTTAAATATGGGGTTCTAGGATAACTAAAACATAAATTTTTTTCACTATATCTTAACGCAAACTAAAATCCACTAAGTATGAAATGTTGGTAAATATTAATTACATACTAAAATAATCCATCACTATGTACAAAATGTTGGTGAATATTTGTTCCTGGGCAACAGAATGCTGAACATATAAAGATCTCAAAAATATGGCTACAAGGGGGGGAAGAAGAATGAACTGGGGAGGAGGGTAGAGAAAACAGTGCAACAATGAATGAATGAGAACCCAAAAATCTCTGTAAATGTTCATTAAAACTAATAAAATGTAATAATAATTTAAAAAATATGGCTACAAAAAATATGACTACCTAATTAAAAAAAAACCCCATCATCTTGTTTTAATACATTTTTACTCAGAGAAGAACCAAGTGAAAAGTGTGCATATTTTTACAAGGCTAGCGAAAGTATACACAGTTTTAAAAAGAAAGTAAACAAGAGTTCTC